TTGCGCTCGTATTAACTGATTACCTCGCTACCTTTTTCGTCGCAATTTCTTTTAGACTCGGAGATAAGATTTATAAAAATTAATTAATTTCCGCGAGGCAGAGTTTAATTCAACGAACCAGGGACGTGCATGAAATAATTTTTCCCCTCAACTGTACCCGTGTCCGAGATACAACGAGCCATTATCTCGGATCCTGGATCTGCGTATGATTCTCCACGATTTTCTTAGAATCCTTCTTTCTCGGATAACGTTATTCTTTGTTTGCAACTTAAGCGAAATACGACCCGTTCCATCTACATCATGCTCTCATATGCGGCGCTATATAATCATGCAACTGCAACAATTGCATAGTAGCAGTAGGTCCCGTTAGTCTCGCGAAACTACCAACCACGTAATACTGCGTTCTTCGCGTAAATATTACAATGTAATTTCCCAACAAAAATTCGTGACCACGAGTAGCATCACGTCTCAGTAGTTTGTTATCCTGTACTCTATGAAACGACTTAGCGTTACAAAGGACATGTCATTTTACCAGTAAAATTCCTATTGTCAGACCAAATACCATATTTGTATTACGTTTTCCATACATTTATCTAATTTATCTAAAAATTTATCTAGAAATAAACTTCCAGTACTCCTCTACCAGTCTCTTTTCCTAAAACCTAAGTCCATCACTGTACACCAACCGTTAGAGTATACCCCAACACGCGAGGACATAGCTCGATGTTTTTCTCCAGAAGGAGCCTATCGCTCGTGCAATCGTTTGAAGAAAGATTAACGCAATTAACGCGAGTCACCTTTGTAGCGGAGCGTGTCGACAGTGGAACGTACATAAATTTAACAACGGCACGGCGCGCGTCCTAAGTCGTGCACACGGCCCGGAACCGGTTCCCGGTGGCATTTAGTGGCCACGCCGAGCCCGTGGCTGCATACGGTCGCGGAATCGGCTAAGTTACAACAAATTAACAGGTCGTTTATCGGCTTCTTTCCCCATGGCGCGGCCCATGGACGTGCACCGTGGAAATAATCGAACTAAAAGCCGCAATTAATGGCCCGGTACCCTTGTAGACAATAAACTTGCCGATCGTAAATAAATTCGCTCGCGCGAGTTACACGCAAGCTACCCAGCGAAATTTTTACCTGTACCCTCGTATATACCTTCTACTTCATGAATCATCGGACACTTGTTATCCAAAGATCACTGTGGGTTCGCACTTCTAACCTCTTGAGGAGCACTGGCCATGTATATAAGTGTCCAATAGGTATTTTTGAGCACGAGAAATCCTTTCACGAGCCTAGTTACTTTCGAAAAATAGTCGGGTGAGAGTAAACAGTTTAGTTTGGCGAATATTTCATTCTAAATATCTTTTGTCGTTATTACACTCCAACTATGTGAGTACTGAAAATGTTTTCAGGAAATGTAGTTAATAATGGAATCAATATTAATATCTGTATACTCATTCGAGTATTAAATATTTAATATTATACGCTAAATAAATTACATAATAGCTAGCCCTATCGTTGATTTCAAAACAAAATGGCCACGAGGAAGTAAAGAGGAATTTAGTTTTCCTTCTCTTAGGGGTTTCATAAATTTGGTCCCAAGGAGATTAAGACCCCTCCCTCGGGTCGAGAAACTTCATATTTCCTAAATTTAGTGATGGTAATCCTGCGTACCATATGTCAAGCCGATAGAATATAAAATGAGAAAATACGTGATCACGGAACGCAGAGAAACAGAGAACAAAGGGATAAAGTTACGCGGGGGGATCTAATCCGAAACTGACCGAAACCTAACCCAACCCAGCATTCTAGACAGCGCTGCTCTAAATCCGGTATATTGCCCAAGCCCAACTGACGAATAAAACGGGGCTTCCCCCACCTCTGTGCGCCGTCTTCTGTTTTCAGAGCGGAGCAGCAAAACAGGGAACTCATATCGGATTTGTTTATCTATTTCCCAAGTTTCTTTCCTCCATAACGATAACACCCCGGATTCTATCCGTGGACAATATTCCAACTTCACTTTAAGCTACGTTCACACGAGCATTAAAGTAACGTACAATACCATGGGACTTAATTTTCTTACAAACATGGATAAAAATTCTAAAATTTATTTCAAAACGTCGATTATATGACAAATTTCGAGCATCACAATTGTCTATTTACTATTCTAAAAAATATCGTCGGATTTATGGCAAGAGATTTTTGAATTTTTACTCTTCTATAGCGAAAAAATCGTCAAGTGTGAAGGGTTACAACTCCGTTATCTTTTAGAACGCTCTAATCGTGATTATTTGGATATACAATTGTCCAAATATCGTTGATACGTAGAGATACCCATGCAACGTGACAGTACAATATTTCGCCGCTAGAGGCGCTGTGACGTCTATAGTAGCGGCCATTCTAGCGTTCGCGTGACCACAGTTCAAGCGTCTAGTAACTTATCGCGCAGCGTGTACTCCCGTCTACGTACACCGTGGTCGACGATAACGTAACCTCTGGTCGAGAGACACAGTTGTCGACGGGTTCATTTTTAGTTGTATCGACACGTGTACGGGAACGGAAAATATCGCTGGCAGCGAAGCTCGTTAACGCGGCCTGAAAGCGCCGGCACGACGGTTATTTTCAGCGTATTCAACATCTTTTTCATGCACCCGCGTCCGTGAAAGGGATATTAAGAGAAACGTCGAGGCCTCACCGGTTGAAAAGGACGTAACCCGCGAGAAACTTGGAACGCTACTTCTCAAAGAATTTTAATTCAACGTCTTCGTATGAAAAACACGCGGGGAATAATACAGCGGGTGGTAAATGTCACTTTCTCCTCCATGCACGCCCGTTAACGAGAGGTAAACGACGACCTTAGGACGGTTTCAGGCGATCACGTAGTGCTACGTGATGAGCGAATGTCGACTCGTAGGCGTGAGTGCGTTCGTTTTGTAATGCACTTGGCAGATGTGCGACGGTGATGAAGAGAGTGCGCTGACTTTTGGTATCACGTGCCCTCTATGGTGCCTACATGTGTCGAGTAGATGTTCAAAACGACGCTTTCTTAAACGTCTGTTAAATTTCTCATCGCTGCCACCTTCGTCGTGTAACATATTCGAATATCATTTAATTAAAACAGGAACAAAGAAAATATGAAAATAATATATCGAAGATGACAATTAACCCTTTACATTCGGCGATTTTCTCGTTAGAGAAAAATAGTAATTCGAAGACTTTCTGCCATAAAATCGACGATATTTTTAAAACGGCAAATAAGAAATCGCACGCAAATTAAGAGGTAAAATTATTTTGCTTCGATATTCCACGCATCCTTGGGTAATTGTAAACTTGATATACGAAACCCATCAATTTGACAGTAGGGTTGCACCAATTATACGATGATAACAGATTTAGTCAACTTATATTAAGACTGTTAATATAATTGTTTTTAAATTAAACTAATCATTAAAAAAAAAAGGCACGTGGTTTCCTTTACCTGTCAATTTGACAGGTGTTCTTAGAAATAGGTATACAGATAGCGTCCGTAAACCTAGTATGAGAATTAACATCCATCTTCAGAATATGATTAAATGGCGACTGAGAGGTGCCTCTCGAGTGCAAGGGGTTAATATTCGACACTGTTAAATGTCTGTCAGAAGCCTGAATAAATTAGACAAGCTAACAAATTTCGTACATAAGTCATTCTGCAAAACCAATACAGACATAAGAAGCTAGAACTTAATTCCTAGCCTAAATAACCTAACCTAAACGACAGTTCTTCTCCCACCCTTCTTTACACCATTTTGCTACACGGTCCAGAGGGCACTAGTCGATCAGCGACGCGTTTGTTTATTCAAAATGGCGGGACTCGAAAAGCCGAAAGCTTTCAATGCGTCGGAATAAGAGGATTGAAACGAACGCGCTTATGAACCGTTGGCGCTGGCGTCGTTTCGTGCACAGCCGGATAAACGTACACGTGTACCTGTCTATGAACGTCAGAGGATTTTCTCGTAACGGCGCCGACGTATCCCGTACGTCGGTTCCCACGTTTTCGCCAAGATCCCATAACACGAAATGTAATTCCCTGGCTTTTCTCGACTTCTTGCCGCGTCCGGAACCTTCGCTAAACGGAAACCGTGAAATTTCTATCAGAAGGCTCATGGGTAAATAGGAAATGCAAATGTTCCGATTTCTTTAGCCTTTTAGGATTCCGTTTCCATTTCTATTATCCTCTACGATTTTTCTTGCATTTTTATTCCATTTTCTTCCTTTTCCTTTTCTTCTTTCTTTTTTTTTATAATATTCCAGGTTTTATTCCCTCGTGGTAATAATAATTCAATAAGTCCCTCGTGTATTTATTTCAAGTTTGTAGATACCATAGGAAGAAATTTGTAGGTTCATAGAAGTGTGCATGAATTTTGGGAAAAGAGAGAAATCGATTTAATTGTGTTATTAATCGATGGTTTAGCTAATTGAGCTTTAACACGTTCACTGCTCGCCGTTGCCCATGGGACAGATTAATATGTAATAGTAATTATTCCGCACAGTAATATCGATAATATATAATTAAGAATATCATAACATACTTCGGTATTACATGAAATATATAATACAGCAATATAATTTATTATCCTCCACAGTAATAACCCTCAAAGTAAAATGGAGAATTCTATCTAATTTTCATCTCCCGGCTCGAAATAAATTTTAAAAAAGTTCCAAAATTATTTACGCATTTGTCAGTTATAATCTAATACCTCCATTTGAAATCCTTAAAGCGGGATAACGGGAGTTAGTGAAATAAAATGAAGTAAAATATGGAATAAAAAATTACATTCGACTTATGTGCCCGACTGAGCACAGCAATCGTGTCAAACCTAACCAAAAAAGAAAGAATTTCAACAAAGAAAAGAGAAAGCAAAAATAATAATAAAAAATAATAAAAAATAATAAATAATAATAAAAATAAAATAAAATAAAAATAATAAAAATGGAACGCTATTTGACACTTACCAGATGTCACCTGCCAATCAAACTAGAACTCCCGACGAGTGGTGAATATCCTCTCCTCCCCTCTCCTCTTTCGATCTATCTCTGTGTCCTGAAACAGAAGAGAGGTTATGTTTCAAGCGAGGAATAAATCGCATCGATTCACCGGTATAATTGCGTACGGTTTTATTCCTTGGTCGTACATTTCCCGTGGCAAGAAGGTAACGCGAATGCAGTTTCGAGCGTTTCCTCGGCGCACCGCTACGCGGCGCTTTTGTCGTTTAGATCCGGCCGGGTTGATAGAGGACGCCTCTTGGAATTCTGTTGCACGCGCCGCGAGTAACCAGAAAAATTAGACTCGTTCTCCCGGCGAAATTACTGGCACGGTAATTCGCCAGGGTGGAGGAAGGAGTTATTTTGACTGAAAAATCGGCCACTGTCGGAGAGGGGTTCTAGAGTAGAGCTGGGACAAAGGGAGGGGGTAATACGGGAAGAATGGAAGGAATGGTATGCATTTTGTTCCGCCAGCGGACTTATTACTAACATTGCTTCGTTTGTTCTTATTCTGAGATATCAGATGCGAGGATAGTAACTGGCTCGAAAAGCGGATGGCCTTGAAAAATGTTTTACGCTTTGCATTCATGAATTTGAGCTTGAAATTGGTTTTATATTTGAAATTTGGAATTTCTAATGCATGTGTTTAGGGTGCAAATTTTTAGGGAGTTTGAATAGATTCGAATTCAAATTTGAATTAAGATATTTACTATGGGAATTTAACGATTATTCGAATATTGGAAATAAATTTCAAATATCGCAGTTGTGGTTTAAATCCAAATTGAAAAATTCAAATTAAAATTGGAATTAAATGCGAATTGAAATTTAATAATTCCAATTTTAATTTAAATATTCGAGTTAGAATTTGAATTGAATGCGAATTTAAATTTGATAGTTCTAATTTTAATTTAAATATTCGAATTCGAATTTGAATTGAAATTTTGAAATTAAGTCCCGATTCAAACATTTCATTTGAAATAATTAAATTATGAGCCAAATTCTAATTTAAATGTTTAAATTTTAGATTCAAATATTTGAATTATGATTCAAACTCGAAGGTAAATATCCCGGTTTTACTTAAAATTCAAATTTAAATATGTAAAATAAAATTCCAATGGAAAAATTTAAATTTAAATTCCAATTCAAATTCAAATATTTAAATTACGATTTATATTCGAATTTAAATATCCAAGTTTTAGTTAAAATTCAAATTCGCACATTTGAAATTAAATTCCAAGCCAAATATCCCAATTTAAATTCCAATTTCAATTCGAACATTCAAATTCAAGTCTCAATTCAAATACATAGATTTCAATAGAAAACCACACGAATTTGAACATCCCTAAATTCAGTTGCCAAGAGGAGAGTCGAAAATAAAATTTGAACAGGCTTCTCTATTAAAACCGGCCTTAAACCGACTTTTTTCGCGTCCACAATGCGCGGCTAGAAATAGAACATATTTTCACCAATCGTTTTGTTCAGGAAGCGATCATGGACGCACGTGTGCGTTCCGTGTTGCCAAGCTGTACTTGTTTTGCTTGACGCAATGCGACTGCACTCGTGGTACAGTTGGAAACGTGTAAACCGTGACAGAGGATTCTCGTTTTATTGTCCCGCCGCTAGTCGAGATACATTCAGCCATCGAAAATGATATAGCCTTTGTTTGATCGAGCGATCATCGATTCTTCCGACGCAGTGAACCATCCAAATCCACGCGCATTCTTTCTCTTCGAAATTTTAATCGTCCAACCGATCATTTTATGCACGACTTTTCGAAATAACTGTACCTCCACAAAATTATTACTTACGGCGGTAAAAATCTATTAATAAAATGCTATTAACTTCGTCAATAAACAAATAATTACATTAACCATTATACTGCAGAATTTGATTACTTAAATATCTATAAATATTCTATTTTGCAGTATTTATAAAGAAATAGCAATTCTGTTAAATTTTTCACGTCACACAAAGCATTTATTTCTATTTTATTTATTTCAATAAAAAATCGATTAATAAAATACTATTAACTCCGTTAATAAACAAATAACTCCCATAACCTATATATTGAAGAATTTTATTATTTAAATATCTATAAATATTCTATTTTGCAGTATTTATAAAGAAATAGCAATTCTGTTAAATTTTTCACGTCACACAAAGCATTTATTTCTATTTTATTTATTTCAATAAAAAATCGATTAATAAAATACTATTAACTCCGTTAATAAACAAATAACTCCCATAACCTATATATTGAAGAATTTTATTATTTAAATATCTATAAATATTCTATTTTACAATATTTATAAAGAAAAAAAATTTTGTTCAATTTTTCATATCATACAAAGCATTTACTTTTATTTTACTTATTTCAGAATTAAGAGGATCAATGATTGCTTTATTAATTATTTCAAATATAATTCGATTAATAAAATTGTACCGTTTCACGTGGAAATTATTCGAGAAGCATTCTCGACAGGATAATCCCGACTTATTTCGTGCTACGGAAAATTATTCGAAATTATTAAAACATAATCGCAGGAAGTCATGAACCCTCTAACTCTACCGACTTCCGACGTCCTATTATACGTATCCAGATCCGCTTACGAGTCGCGGGGGTTGATAATTTCACCCCATACCGCCGCCATTACGTTCACTCGTTTGTTAACTCCACGTATTGACAAACAAAATGGCCATTCGAAATGGACGAATGTAATTGTAGAAATGGTATTATAATACCAAAAATGTTTAACCTGACATTTAAACACTGGAGATCAACGTGACTAATAGACCTGGAGATTCTATAGGCTATATTGCATGTCACTTGCCACTCCTTACCCCTTGCAGACTGAGCGATTCGGAGCCAAGCATTATGCAGAGCCAAGTTACTATAGCGACAGTTAATCGGAATTGTCAGATCATCAAATTCATGTACGAGTCCATTGGTTACGTTGATGGGCTGCATTGGATGCATATGTGCCTCTGTCCTCCATTACTGTAATTGTCTTCCCTATGAACCCACTTTCTATATAACAATTAGATAACTTTCTGTATTTCCAATTGTATTTAATGCATTCAAAATTTAGTTTCCATTACAAAGAAATTTTGACAGAAAACACAGGTTTGTAATTCAAAATTGTAAATATTGCTCAACAATGTGCCTCTGTCCTCCATTACTGTAATTGTCTTCCCTATGAACCCATTTTTTATATAACAATTAGATAACTTTCTGTATTTCCAATTGTATTTAATGCATTCAAAATTTAGTTTCCATTACAAAGAAATTTTGACAGAGAACACAGGTTTGTAATTCAAAATTGTAAATATTGTTCAACAATGAAAACAGGCTGTTCTTTCACGTAGCGTTCCATTTTTAATAACCCTGAATTATTATCTGTCACCCTGTATTTTTCTTTCTTCGTTGGCAACACTAGCACATAAATGGCGCGAAATTCGAATCTTGCGCGAATTTTCGGACACCCTATAAGTAGTGACTAGTTACGGATAGACACGCCCAGAAATATTTCTTCTGAATTACTCTTTTTTATTACTCAATTTCAATTTTATTTTTATATATATTTTATATGAAAATATAAAAGAGGGTTAATTTTATTATTAAATAATATTCCTAAAATTGCTCGGTTGCACAGGTTAAAGACACACTGTTCAATATCTAACGCAGTACGATCACAGTATTGTAGGTTAGAATTCCACCACAGCGTCATCTCAGTCTTACTGATACAGAAAGAAAAAGAAAAAAGAAAACGCGATCACGTTGTTCGGATTTTACGTCGAGAAGTGTCTCTATAATACGATATATAGTTCACGGTGCATTCGGATCCCACAGCAGCGCCATCTCAGTGCTATTGATACTTAAATAAAACCAAGCGCGATCACGCCGTTTCGTTACAAGTGCCGCTACCGCAGCGCCATCTCGGTCTTATTGATACTAAATGCGAATGAAGCAAAATCGCGTCACTTGCCATTTCTCCATGTTATTTTTTCCACAACCGTTATCATCGAAGCAGTCAAAACAGGAGACATTATTATTTCTCGCTGTTTTTATCGATAATTAAACAATATACAGGGTGTCCCAAAGTAAGTGCCGTTTGACGTAACTTCCAAACGGTATGTGCTAGAACGAAACTGTAAAGACACTTTCATCGTAATTTTTTGCACACAATATGCACGTGCCAAAAAGAATGTTCTATCTTCAATTTTTCAAACTTATTTCAAGGTCACTCCACGTTTATCGAGCGAAAAACTTCAATTTTGTTTTACTATTTTACACTTACTTGAAAGTGCACGAAAAGGAAGATAAATAAATAAATTTGTATCTTTTGGAAGTGTCCTTGAGACGTTTCAAGATTGCGAAGGTAACTGTCTGTAAACGTCGATCAAGATAGTTATCAGATTCGCGTCGTTCAGTTCGACTGAAATTTAATCAGATTTCCACGTCGATAATATCCACCGAGTGGGTAGGGGCGAACAGACTTACGCAAGCGTCCCTGGGCACCCTGGAAGGGGCCCGCAAAAATATCACACGCGTTCCCAGTGTCCGTCAGCGGCCACGGGCTTCGAGTTAAAGCGTAATCTCACTGGCGGAAGAGTGGAACTGGGGTGAGAAGGAGCCTGGAGCGAGCCGTGTCGCGTAAACGCGGAAAATCCGCGGGAAAATGAAAAGCCTGGTAAAACGAGACATTATACATACAAATGGCGCTGTTAATAGACGCACACGCCGCGAGAGCGTCAGTGTCGCGCGGTTACCCAAATGTTTTGCCCTGTTTCCGCACGAAACGCCACCGTTAATGGCCGCTGAAACACTTTTACTTAGCGTTCCGCGAAACCCCGGGCAAAATGTTTCTTCGTTAATCTAGGCCCTTTCTTTTATTCCGCGGTTTATTACGATTTTTCCAGACGAGTTTGCGTAATGGACGAGCTACCGCCGCGGACGGACAGCGTAGATGGCGTAGATGGCGCTAGTGGCACGGCCAGATATCTCCCAGCTTCGCTTTTACACCAAATTTTCTATAAATGCACAGATATAATACATCT